GAGCTTGCCGCGGTCTTGCCGAGCGAAACAAACCCACTAACGCGGCTGACGTTTGTGGGTTTTTTCTGCTCTTCATGCATTGCAAGACAGCGGCTTGCAAGCAAAGTTAGCAGTACTGCTTTTTTTTGCTTCCTGCGTACGAGAATCGCTGAAGTGTTCACGACAGCGTAGTGTATATATAAAGGCGTTTGCGAACCATGACAACTAAGGCCCCTAGATGAAAAAAGTTCCTGATCTGCATTGCGATAAGGAAACACGGCGAAGCCATAACATGCTTGCTGTAGAAACACGCTGTAGAAAGAATATTATTCAGTGTGAACTCGTGTTATCGCCACGACAATTTCTCCGGCTCTGATGGAACGCTATAACATTTACTTTGAGCTGTTATCAATATTTGGTGTTGAAAGCATGAATTCACTCTTAAAACCTTCCGCGTCCACCGGGTTACGCGTGAAGAACTTTCGGTAGAATGTTGTAAACACGTGCTCGATATCTCTCTTAAGTCTAATTAACACCGTCTTGTTCAATCTCGTAAATCGCGTTCCTGCGGGCCCACTTTCCTACCTTTGTGAGGTCACTTTTAGTTGGCGCCTGACCTGTAAATATTGCATCTACTCTAGCTTTTAGCAACACCATGTGGCAGCGTTCGATACATGTCTGCTCAAGGCTTTGCTTGACTGTACAGATGCAATCTCTGAAGGTCCCAGCTTATTGGCTTTTGATATGTAAGCACTTGCAAGCTTCTGTGCAAGATTGCCTCATACTTACTCTGCTCCAAGTCTATAGCGCTGGATCATTCAAGTGCCTTCATTTTAGATACTGGTTTAAATGTTTTTCGTCGTCCACATATCGTTGTGTCCACTTGGTTCTTAATGTCTTTAAGTAGGAGAAGCACTTTCTCGCAGAAAACATCATCGTCCAATATTTTGTCATGGAGCTTCAACAATACCTATAGAAACTTACTTCGATTTTTTGCTTTCTTTTTAATGCAGAACTTGTCTTCATAGTGTTCACTAAATGACACCGACTTTACGTGATATTATTGCGCAAGTATTATCAATTCAGCCAGACGGCCGGAATATCGCTCTGTCAAGTCGGGCGTGGCTGGCCGCTTGAAACGCTGTCTAAACATTCTGCCACGTCCTCGAGCCTACATTCATCAATTATGTTGCAGAGTTTAGCCGTGCTCACATCCCTATAGGCTGTAGCCCTCAATTTATCCCGCACTACCCATACACAAAGTCCCCCATCAAATAGTACCATAATGTCTATCAGCCGTACCGGTTCCCTTCAACATTACAATAATTTCTGGTACACTTGAAGAACTATCTTCTTTTCTTGAGTAATGCGAGAGCATCAATGCATATAACTCGGGATTAAACTGAACTAAATGAAGTAACACAAAACAATGTGTCTCAAGAAGTCTTACCTCACAGCTTGCACTTCAAGGCCCATAATTTTGCGCGCATCGCCCAAAGGCGTGCCTTATCACCTGCGTACTACCTTGATATAAAAGGTAGATCCACACTCTGGGTCTCATCATCACCTTAAATTTTTTATTCTTGTACGGTAATGCCTAAAATATGTTCCATTCCCAGTTCACACATCTGCCGTTGTCTTCCCACTGCAAGCCCTTGAAGATTGATTGTAGCATGTCGCAAGGGTTTATCTGGCAGTGCCACTATAATAATAATAATTGAAAGCTAAAGTGTGGGGCTTACCCTGGACGACAAATTACCGTGGGTCCCGGAACCTTCATCGAGACTTTCGAAACCTACTGCTGCGTAACCGGTAGCAACGTCATCGTCGCCGTCAGCCTCTGGTCTTGTAGGACGGCCGGCCTTGGCTGAACTGTCGATTGATGCCGCGGGGCTCCTTTTCGCAGTGGTTCACCGGCCCTCATCAGGTCAGTAGAAGCACCCTCTCGCTCGACGCCTTCGTATCGTCGCTTATTCGTCAGGGCGCCATCCTTTGAAATGTCACTTGCCTTCTTCACTTCATTATTGCCATGCGCCACTGTCACGTTGCTCTTCCTTTCCTGCCTCAGTACTGATTCATTTCTCACCGGAAGTGTATACTCATCTCAGAAATTCGTCTTTCATACGCAAGCTCTGTCACCTGCAACTAGCTCAGCCAAAGCGCTGTCCGTCGTAGCAATTTGTGCCTCCACCTTCACTGCTGCTTCGCAACAGGCTTCATTTGGAGCTACGAGTTGTCGTCACTTTCCAGGAGCCCTGCAACACTCGCTTATCTACGCACGTATTCCAACTCGTTGTGGCCAAAGTCACGACACACCGTGCATCGCGGTACCTCATACAGCCCCGATGAATATGCCTAGTGCAATAATAACGATGGAATAGCGGTGCCCTTGCCGGCGCCACCACGGGGGCTAGCTCACAAGCAATCATTATCTGAGGAGGTGTAGCCTCTGGCTTCACTCCTGCCTTTAGTCTCATCGTCACAGCTCGCGTCATTAAATCTTCGTCAGACACATCACTGACCTTTCAGCATTCCTCGACTGTCGGTCGCTCGTCAGGAACGGTAGCCAAGAGCCAGTGACTTCAACCACAGCTCCTGGTTTGATGAGTCAATGAAGGCACAACTCTGGCTCTTAACTGGGGATATTTCCAGCTGCCACTTTACCCCTTCGGCACTCGTGAATACGATTTCCCATACGTGATTCATTCGATATGCCACCAAGTTGAAACCTCAGGGAGCACTGAAGTCACTAAAGTTTCAAATCACTGAGCGTATATCTGAAGTCTTGTACACGGTAAGGTTGTGTCCTCACATCTGGATGCATGAAAACGGCATTGAAAAATAAACTTCCTGAAGGCAGACTAGGCGAAACAACACGACACTTGTTATCAGAGACAGCAGATTGAGACGCATGAATGGGTTCTATCGGAGTGGTTTCCGCGGCCAGAAAGGGCCGCTGATACCGCTCCGACAGAGCCCATTCCAAATGCGTCCGCTCGCTATCGTGGCCGGAAGTGGAATACCCTGATCCCCTTCAGTCGTGTGCCAAAATCTACGCTTTGCCGAAACCCTCACTTGTAGCGTAAATTCTCACCTGTTGCGTGAATGCTGGTTTCGGAGAGATCAGAATCACGTCACGTATGACGTCACTGATCAATCCACGAACACGTCCGTCATGTGAATACAGCTTTACTTCGTCGCGCCGCCCCACCGGCAGTCGGGATGTAAAGCAAGTAAAATGCGGGAATGGCTTCGTCATGATACAGTTTTCAAATGCGGGTGGTTTAAATTGCACTAACAGTATGCGTACCACTAACAGATGGCTTTTATTCCAAACAAGTGTTTTTCTTACACAGAGCAAGATTGCGATGCTTGTGGAACGCTCCTTCAAGAAACTACGTCCACGTAAAATTTCTTTTTATTGTTTCTTTTGGAATAAGTGAGAACGACGCAGAAACGGGAGAAGAAACATAGAGTATGGGCTGACGAACAACTAGCGCAAGTTGATTGCATCGGAAAATATGTCATAAAATAGATTTTTTTTGTTCTTTTGAGTGGTGTATAATTTTTCGACGCAATGAAATTGAGGTGGACTTTGCCAGTGCTCTTGTTTTGTGTTACTTCTACATGTACTGTAAATGCGTTGTTACCACTTACTATCACGTATCAGGATGCCCTTCAAGACAAACTATGAAGGTAACCGTTAGAAGTGTTTTCACTGGGACTAGCTGGCATGGCATTGCGAAGTGAAACGATGCGCTAGATAGATGAACAAAGATGAAGGACACGCAAACCTTCTCCTTGTTCGTTTCGTGTTTTTACATTCGTTTCCGCCCTTTAAAGTCTTTTGCGGGAGAATTCATTCTTTTTGTTAGCATATCTAGCTGGTGTACGATTCCTCGAGTCGGCGAATTCGCAGGTGTACTACTTCGTGGAGTACAGCTAACCGAACCTAACATTACCAACCGGGGACACAAGAAGACACACAACACAGAATTCGCGCACGAACTCACATTCTCCTTATGTAAGCGTATCACCATGGTGGGCAATTCCTCGAGTCTGTACCTTCTATGGTGTACTTCTTGGTGAAGTACACCGAACCTTACATAACCTAACATAACCTGGCTTAATATAACATAACGGGAACATAAGAAGGCCCACATGAGAGAGTTCGCGGACGAACTAATATTCTTGTATGTTAGTGTATTTCAGAGGGTGTGTGATTTTTTTGTCATCAAATCAATATCAAAAGGGAGAATTTTATTCCAATATAACATAAAGGCTTACAGAAATAATTGGAGCCATAGCCTAAGCTGCTAGTGAAGGGCCCAATACAGAAAGAATAAAAAAAATAGAATATTAGCAGTCTTTTAGAAAAAAATAAACAATTGTGAAAGCATCATACTTGAGCAATATAGTGATATACAAAAAAGAAAAAAACACAATGGTAATTTACTACAGCAAACACACATGAGCAGAATTATTAGAATGCCTAAAATCTCAAGAAAATATCTTGTTAGCAACAAAGTATTGTTTGTAAGAGATGTCAAAACTTCTAGCGCATTTTATTCCTAATGCAAATTGTTTCAAAGCTTACCACCAGAAAATTGTATCAGCCTTTGGCCATATACATTTGAACATAAAGGAAGGTTAAGATTACCAATGCTAGCTTGTCGCGTAATTAGCGACGAAAACGTAAAAATGGTGAGGGGAAGAGGCGTGTTTGTGTTTATTATTTTATTTACTAAACAGAAAATCTTGTAGCTGCGTACGTCTGTAAATGGCAGTATACGCAGTCTCTGAAATTGAGTACTTGAAGAATAACACAATGGGGACAAAGTATTCAGACGCGCAGCTCGCTTCGCAGGTGCACTCCTCCGCGGAAAACACCAAACGAAACCTAATGTAACCTAACAAGAACACAAGAAGACCCACATCGGAGAGTTTGCGGACGAACTAATATTCTTTGATGTTAGTGTATCTCACACGGCGTGTAATTCTTCGAGTCGGTAACTTCGCAGGTGTACTCCTTCGTGGAGCGATACGACGACATCACGTTCCGACATCGGTCGCTCGTCATCAGCTTCGTGGTGAACACCGAGGTGTCGGCCCTGGTCGCGTCCGGTATGCTGCACCTCGTCAGCTTCATGGGTTTGATGGGGGCCCTGCGCGAGAATGTGTGCCTGCTGCGCTGGTACCTCTGGGGAATATGCCTGCTCCTCCTACTGGACCTGGTGTTCATCACAAGCTGCTTCGTCTTGCCTTTCATCAGCACAGGCGTGAGTGAGGAATGTTATTTGCCTCTGCCACATAGTCGTGAGACGTAACTTGTACGTTATGGGTGAGAGAATAAAAATACAGCATATCCATGGAGTGAATGATGACGAGTGGGGTGAAGCGTTCATCCGTCCATCCATGCATCCGTCCTTCGTCTGTCTGTCTGTCTGTCTGTCTGTCTGTCTGTCTGTACAGTCACTTGCCTTCTGTGACTGTACAGAAGGCAAGTACAAGTACAGAAGGCAAGTATGTCTGTATGTCTGTCTGTCTGTTCTGTCTGTCTATCTGTCTGTCTGTCTGCCCGTCCGTCTGTCCGTCGTCCGTCCGTCCGTCCGTCCATGCGTCCATCCGCCTATCTGTCCGTGGATCTGAACACTTCATGTACAGCAATCTCGCATCTTTTCGCCATATATTCATCACTGGAGTTACTGTATATGCTACTTTTATGTAGCAGAGTTGCGCCACTGTTTTGCTGGCGCCGCTCACTCCGCCTACAGGAGTTGAGCGCCCCTAGTCAGCGAGCGCCATCATGTGGTGATAGGTGGTTCATTTGTACTGCCGATAAGCCAACGCTACGCAGTTTCCGGGCAGATCAAGTGGGGTTGACAACGGCTGTTGTCATTCTCGCCGCGCTTCTTCGGTAATGCAGCCATGCTGCCTGTTGGTCATGAGAAATGCGGCAGCAAACGTATTTTTGTGTTGAATTGTACTACGTAGAGCCCATGCGATTAGACGCTGGTGCAGCGGAAGGAATAAACGCTTGGCCATTGTCGTCTGCAGAATTTTCTCTTAAGGGGTGCAAACCATTGTTGCATCGTGATTTATAAGGAGAGCGAGAGCACTGGTGTAGCTTGGGCGAGGCCAAGTGCTGTTGTGACTTGAGGAGGGCAAGTGCCCCTTTTCCACTGCTCTGCTGACGCCCATGTGCTTGGATTTTTTTAAAAATCTGTCCATGGCACTGCAAATCTTGCTCTATTTGTATTAGGCACATATGCAGTAGTGAATACGTTATACATGCATAGTTGACCAGCGTGTGTCAGCTGCATACGTCCAAATTGGTCTGGCCGGTTAAAACAATAAATGTAAAGGGAGATCAGTCGGCAAGGTGTTGCTGCTAGTAGGTGAATTGAATGCCACTTTGAAACCTTGAGTGAAAGAATCTGGGACACGACAGGGTTGTTGAACAACGATTCACATCAATTGTCGTTAGCCGCGATTGTAATACGAGCGTAACACGAGAGCCACGCGTAACGCGGGCCTCGCACGGTCACTCTTGATCGCTAACCAGCTCGATTCAGTTGAATACTACAAAGGTTCAGCTGGTTAACTCACACAGTTAACGAATAAGCCACACCCAATGAAAATATTACATTCCTAACTTCCTCGATAGCGAATAAGACTGAAAAATATGTTTATGCATGTAAATAGGAAAAACAGCGCAAAAGAAGCCGAAGCTTATATGTGGACTACTATAAATATACATATGTATCACTGTTTCAACGAGCTGACGCACCTTTTTTTCATTATTACATACCGAAAACGTCAATATAAAGTCAAGGCTCCCAAGCGTGACCAGAGCAACTGACTCTTTCTTGTACTTTCATAAAAATAGAGAAAAAAGAAAGCGAAAGGAATAAATAAAGTAACGCTAGTACTCTGAAGCGTGAGCGCTGCTGCTACGCGGGTGGTGAGTGGCTTTCTCGCAAGACATTTCAACCCAAGATGGCGTACCTTGGCGCAACTCTGCTACCTAAAATTAGCATATACAGTAACTCTATTCATCACATACAACTACTGCCCTACAGCGGACATTATAAGGACTAAAGGAGAGGTGGCTACTACGACTACAACACGGGACATGCGACCCGCACAATAAAGAACTTCGCCCCTAAAAAAAGACAAAGTTCATATACGCTTGAGCTTCGCGTTCGAGGGTAGAACGCGATAGCGTAATCGGGCCAAGTCGCATCGCCTTCTTAGTCGCTAGCTTGGCTTCGCTTATCGGCGACATCTCCATAGGCGTGCGTGGGGTTCCTTTTCAGGGGAGGGGGTAGGTTTGTTGTAGTGTTCTCCTCGGTATTGAGTCAATGTGTGGTACAAGCTTTGTGACACCCCTCCCCCCTCCCTTTCCACGGGAGCACTCCTAGGGTCCCTCAACCCTTTTACAAGAAAAGAAATGAGTGTGCGTGTACATTCAATCATTCCGAACTTTGCTAGACTGCCTCATCGTTCAGTGCCAGGTACGGCAGAATTTTTCCCTTTACGACTTGGCGAAATGTCCCCCAAGTGTTCGTAAGGCGCAAAGATGCTTGGCTGTGTATTTTGTTGTTGCTGTCGCTGATATAGATTATGGCGATCGAGGTGAAAATGCTGTAGGCCCGTGTGCTCAGATTTGGGTGCACGTTAAGGAATCCCAGGTGGTAGAAATTCCTGGAGTTTGAAATTTGCCAATGGTTGTGTTTCGGAGAGTGCGATTCATAAAAAAGTACGGAAATGTGGTATTACCCATAGGTCAGTGGAGAACGTGCGAGGATTACTGTGCTATTGAAGCTATGCAGTGAATGTGATAAAATACTCGATAGTGGGCGAATGCGCTTAAAATGAAAGTATAACACGAAATGCATACAGATGATGTATCCTCATAGTGTTGTACAACTCGAACTAATATGCTTTGCAAAACAAGTTGTCGATATTAGTAATGTTCCGAACGGCTTCCTTTTGCAATAAGTAAATTCTCATAATGTTTCGTTGTGTAGTGGTCGACCATACTGAACTGATGTTGATTTATTGATATGTGGGGTTTAGCGTCCAAAAACCACCGTATGATTATGAGAGACCCCGTGTAGTGGAGGGCAACGGAAATTTTGACCACCTGGAGTTCTTCAACGTGCACCCAAACCTGAGCACACGGGCCCACAGCATTTTCGCCTCCATCATCATCAACGACATCAGCGACAGCAGAACCAAATTATACAGCCGTGCATCTTCGCGCTTTACTCACGCTTATGGACACTTCGCCAAGTCGCAAATGAAAAAATTGTACCGTACATGGCACTGAACAGCGAGGCAGTATAGCAAAGCTCGAAATGGCAATTTTGCACGCACAGTCATTCCTTTTCTTGCGGAAGGGTCGAGGTTCCATAGAAGTGCGCCCAAGTTGGAAAGGGGGGGGGGGGGGAGCGCACAAAGCCTGTGCACAATGCAGCCGCCGCAGGCGGGATTTGATCCCGCGACCAGCGGGTCAGCAGGCGAGTACCTTAGCCACTAGACTAACGCGGCGGAGCTTCCGAGCTGATGTAATTAATACGCGCTGCCAAGAGTGCATAATAACGTTGTAGCTTCCCTTGCAACGGAAATGTTAGTAGGGCGATGCGACATAACTCCTGTGATCATTGAAATTTTTTGCACAAATTGTCGATGTGAATGTCGCACGAAAGATTCGAGCTAAATGTAACACCAAGGTGGTGCCAGTTGACACCGCCAGTGCCGAAATGGCTAGGATTGTTGTGTATGCTCATTGGGACTGGCAAAACCATTCCTGCCCTTGCGGAAGGGTTGAAGCGTCCATCAAGTAGCGAAGTGAATCTACTGATTGAGGAGGTGATGAGAGCGGAGCGCGATCAAGCTCTCTTGCTCTACTCATGACGCGAACCTCGATCGCGCTCCCTTTTTTATATGCATGACGAAGTTGCCTTTTCTGTGTAATCCAAGGTGTTAAAAGAATACGCACACCATCATGAGCTCGCTGTGCATCGTTCAAAATGGAACGCTCGGTCAGACACTGTTTAGAATGCTATTTGTGATATCGTTGTCAGCGAAAAACTGATGCTAATTGTGTTCTTTTTTTTTACTCGTATATAATATTTTTGCAGAGTGCGCAAAGCGTGTTCAGCATCGACCTCATCGTCAGCTACAGGGACAACCCGGACTACGCTCGACTAGTCGATTACACGCAGGTAGGTGGTGGCAACGCCTTTCCACGCCCTTTCTATACTGTAGGATGGAAAGTTATCCCGTTCTCCGCAATTGCCGCTCGCCTCTACATATTCCACGCGCGAGGCTAGCGATCACAGTGGTAGAAAGGCGCTTGTTCGGGGACACAAAAAAAAAAAGCGCTCAAGGTGATGACGCGAGCACTAGTCGAATTATTTTCCACTGTGCCATTCTTCCCTGGTTATCTTCCAGCGCGCATGCAGAAAGGAGTGAAGAAAAAAAAATTACTGCAAAGCAGAAGCGTAGCCAGAATATTTTTGGGGGGAGGGGGCTCAACCACGCTTTATGTATGTCCATGTGTGCGTTTGTATGGGTGTGTGTATCTATGCGTAAGCGAAATACACAAAAAATCGAAGGAAAGGCTCAAACCATACCCTCCTTGCCTACGCCATTGTAGCATGCGACAAATCTGCAAATCCGGTTTTACTTCAAAGATTTTAAAGCTTTTCGTAGTGGTCGATTCGTGTGAAAAGGTAATGTAGTTTAAGGAAGCCATTCGATGGTTGGATTGAAAAGTGTTGCAGGTTCTTTTAAGAACAGAAAAGTTAGAGCTACATTTCTCCTAAAAAAGATACTGCAAGAATAAGCACACATGTTTCACTGATGCCGCGAGCTATCTGCACTTACGGCGGTTTGCTATCGTCGTGATTATACTCGTAGAAAGCCGAAGAAATGGCCATTGCTCTGACCATAACCGACGCCGAAACTCAAACAGTACTCAGTGAATCGCACTCCACAGTACGAAATTTCGCTAAGGGTAGGATTTCAACTAAAGCCCTTCACGTACTGATGCATGCCAGCCAGATTTCCAAGGCTATCTTGATCTGTATCTCCGCCAATATGGGTGGAGTCTGTCCGCACTACCCCAACCTTAACGAGATAGCGCACTCTGCCGCACGAGACGCATCAGCTCGTGCAGGAGGCGAATGCCCTTGTTTAAAGGTATGCGGACTGTGATCGATACTCGGCCCAGTGCTGCTCTCCTCCGCGTCGTGGTAATCTATGGAGATCTTAAGGAGTTACTTGCGATGGCTGCAAACAAACAGTTATCCTAATCCACTGCTATGTCATCGAATATACCCCGAGATGTTTAGCACCAGCATCTGTAAAATCTGCCAGACACAGCTACGCTAGCACACAGTTACGCTGCTATAGAAATGCGAAGCATTTCTATAGCACAAGTACCGATGTTCTTTCGACGAGGTGGGAAGCCGCTCTGCTGTGTAACCGGGGGGGGGGGGGGGGGTAGTAGTATAGTGCGAAATTTACTTCATACATAAAACGGATAGGCTAGATCTCCAGTACCCATTAAAAAATATACAGGGTGAAGGGCGGAGTCTGTCCGGCAGGTTGGTGCCCTTATTCCAGGGCCCCATTGGCAGGAGCCATCCATTGAGCTAAGTGGATCAGTCGCAGCTGATCCACCAGGGCTGTGCTTGACAGCAGAGCCCCTCATTAATTCCATGTGTAATTTGTGTCGTGCTCTTCGCCATGCTCTGCACACTTTCACGTGATGTGAAAGAGTCTTGGGGTGGCTCCACATCACGGGCATATGTCTCTATACACCATGGGGCAGAGCGGGTGGAGAGTGTGCAGATTTATGTAAGTGCTTGTCTGTAATCTCAGCGTGGTCGCCTCCACAGCGCTAACCTTTGTTATGTGGACGTAGATATACCTGCCTATTTTCTTGTACCGTATTTACTCGAAAATCCTCGCACTTTTTTTGCCAGAAAACCGATGCAAAGTTAGGGAGTGCGAGAATTACGCGAGGAAAACTTTCTACGAAAACGCAGAGAGCTAAATAGAAAACGAAGTGGCCGCAAATCGGAATTCTCACAAAAGCACCTTACAGCAAGCTCTAAGGAGTACTAATTAGAACTTACCTCAACAATAAAAGCACAGGTTCAACACAAGGCAAGATTTATTTGAGACACAAAAAGTGGAAACAAAAAGTCGCGAATTAGAATACCATACGGGAAGCTTGTGGGCGTTGCGGGCGTAGCGGTAGCAGTCGGCGCTAAACAGGAGCCCTCAAAAAGTAAGCGTAGGACGTCAATATTGGGCTGATGGCTATTTAACAGAATCGTCCGCAGTTGCCTTCTGAAAAAAATAAAGTTTACGATCAATCCCAGTTTCAGGCACACGGCAGGCCCAACGCGTCTTGGTGGCTTTCAGCTGCCGTCACCAGTAACGAACACAAAACTCGTAGGCTCCGAAGGGCCTATCGGAGGCCCTGTCACCGTTGTTTAGCGCATGGGCAAGGTTCCTTTTGACTTTGCATACATCAGTTGCCAGACTTTGCGGTGGTTGTTGCCAAACTGTCGCTAAATTTGGCTGAAAAAGTTTCTCCTGTAGTTGTGGCTTCTCCGTTATAGTTTGGTGCCATCCGCGGTGCATTTCGCGAGCGCATGAGCGACGCTGGCCGTTTTAATTAACGGAATGAACCGAGCCTACCAGAAGTCGAGCGTGGTGCTGCCGTGCAATTAAGAGGCCATTTTAATTCCGTTTTAATTAACGGAATAAACCGCGCACAACAGAATCAGTAATAATTAACGGAATGAACCGAGCCTAGCAGAAGTCGAGCGTGGCGCTGCCGTGCAATTAGGCAGCTAGGGGAAGCGTAGCGTCCCCCGTCGTAGCGCGCGGTCGACGCGACACGATCAGCTGAGAGAAAAAAAAAAGAAAAGTAAGGGGGGAGGGGGGCTCTGCATCACCTCCTGTGACTCCATTCAGTTTTCCTCGTCATCCCTAATACTGAGACGCGATATCTTAATCGTACAGCTACGCAAACAGCAAGAGAACGCGCCTCGACTTCTGCTAGGCACGGTTCATTTCGTTAACTAAAACAACTTCTTGATTGCACAGCAGCGCCGCGCTCGACTTTTGCTAGGCGCGGTTCATTCCGTTAATTAAAGTGGCCTCTTAATTGCGCAGCAGCGCCGCACTCAACTTCTGCTAGGCGCGGTTCATTTCGTTAATTAAAACAACTTTTTAATTGCGCAGCAGCGCCGCGCTCGACTTCCGCTAGGCGCGGTTCATTCCGTTAATTAAATTGGCCTCCTAATTGCGCAGCAGCGCCACGCTCGACTACTGCTAGGCGCCGTTCATTCCGTTATTGAAACGGCCAGCGTCGCTCGTTTGCGAAATGCACCTCGGATGGCACCAAAGTCTCATAGAGAAGCCACAACTACAGCAAAAAAAAAAAAAAATTGCAGGCAAATTTAGCGGCAGTCTGGCAACACTGACTTTCCCAGTCTGGCAACCATTTATGCAACGCCAAAAGAAACCTTGTCAGCGCATGGTCAATCACTTGCAACTTGAAGCAGCCGTGTGGCTTCAGTATCGCCCCATAACGTGCCAACATTACCGACACAACACACAAAACACGCCGCAACGCGCACTGGCCACTTCGGCTTGGCTTGGATTGGATTGGATCTCTGTGCAATAGTACGCTTGATGCTTAAGAGATCTCTAAGAGATCTGATGCTTAAGAGGTCTCTGCGCGAAAAGCGAAAACCCACAATGTTGAAAGTGCGTTGTGGCATTTTACGCACTCAAATCACCGCATGGCTTGGCGAGCCATTGTAGTCTGCCTAGGTTTATATTTGACAACCTCACTTTCTTTAAAGAACATTTGACCCCAAAACTGAAAGGTCAGAACTTTAATGTTGTTTGATTGTACTATGTACGCGGAAACTAGTTATTGGGAATGAACGTCCGTTTCAAAGGGACTGTGGGTACTCAGCAGATTTGGCAGCAGCTCGGGACATCGCCACTGGTATAGGTTAACATTAGCGTTGATTCTAGAAAGCTTAAAGCTCTTTGCACGCTCCTTTATACGCAGCAGTCGTTCGAGTGCTGCGGTGTCACAGAGGCGCGGTACCGCGACTGGGACCAAAACATCTACTTCAACTGCTCCACGTCGAACCCAAGCTCCGAACGGTGCTCCGTGCCGTCCTCGTGCTGCAGGCACTACGCCACCGCAAGCCACGACGCTGAGGTGAAAGCCGAGAATGACCTGGAAGTACGGCTCAAGCGTCGCTTCTGCGGCAGAGGAGTGCTCAACCTCACTGAACAGGAGGCGTGGAAGAAGGTGGGCAGTACAGATCCTTTTCATGGCGTGTAAAAGAGCGATGTAAAAACAACAAGATGAAACCAGGAAGAGCTTCGTTTAGTTTACCCCGATAAGTCGAAGGCCTCTCGTGGTGGCAGGGTACTACGGAATGCTACAATATCGATTTTCACTCAATATCTTTGTTATGTGGGTCAATACTTAAGCTTGAGAAATGCGGAGCGCATTTGGTGAATAACTTAACTTGTAACGAGCATTATTATAAACCCACCAGTGGCCCGAGAGTCTGGCAACACTGGAACGATCCCGATCCACTGCATTAAAAGCCGTTTGCTTTGCGAGCGTCTGTTAGCCGGCCCGCGATTTTGTTGCATGGTGAGCTTCGTAAGCAATAGATTTGTTAAAGCTTTCTTTAGTTCAGCATTCACTATTGTATGGTTTGCAGCCGTTGATATTTAGGTCGAAGAATACGGGTCCACTATACGAAACATTTGACGTCACTCACGCCATGGAAACATCGCGGTAGCTGGCAGTGAGAGAGGTTCATAGCTGGTGACATCGGTGCTCATTTCGCGAAGAAATGTCCTTTCGCGGTATATGTTTCTTGTATGTAAAGACAAAACGAGTCTATCTTTCGTTGAAAAGCGCTATTTTGTGGTAACAGCGTCATGGCTCCATCAAGGCCACACCTATACTTTACATATTTTTGGCTCACTGCATTGTCCCTGCCACTGTGTCGTACGAGACTGAGTATAAACAAGCGTATTGACGTCTGTACCATTACACTACCAACTGAAAACTGTTAGCGCTTCAGACATCTCCCACTCTTTCAGTGTTCGTGCAAACGCGACTGGTGACCGCCATCCCTGCCTCAGATCTTCACTCGTGGCTGCGTGGACGCTTGCGTCTCCTACATCCGCTCCAACGTGTCATTGATGATTGGTGTGGCCTTGGTGGTGTTCGCGGTCCTCTCACTTCTGCGCACCATGGCATTCACAGTGCACGATGAGATCGTCTCGCTCACGCATCTTTACAGCAAGTACTACCGCAATAAGGCACGTGGGTACCGTAAGTCGCTCAAGCGAATGCAGGCCCTGCAGGCCGAGGCTGCCGCCAAGAACCTGGTCGTCAAGAGAATGCAGTGAGTAACGTCATTCATCAATGGACATGGCATGAGAAGCTCATCCATACTATTATTATCGCGGTACAGGAAGAAACTTTTTAACGGAGAGGGGTTCCTGTCCTTTGTGGGGTGTTTTACGGGAGCTCAAGAGCCAACGTCACAGACTAGCTAGTGCATTTGTTTTTTCGAGGGCAGAGGGGGGGGGGGGTCACGCATGTTAACAACAGCCCAGAGAGCACAATGACGGTGCCCAGGGACTCTCCAGTGAAATAGGCTATAGCGCAAAAGAACACATCGCTTTAGATTGATAAACTGTTCCTTCACGTCGGGGATAGTTCTACGATATTAGGTATCTCTCGATACAATAATGGGTAACAAAGATGCCCCAGAAGAAGCACATATTTGACTGCCAAAGCGTAGCGTTATTTACATGGTTCATCTAAAATTTATCTAACGACGTACAACGTGGCAGACGTTCTTGTCACGCTGACGCACTTGCAAGTTGTGATAGTGGTCCAGTAATCTAGACTGACGCTTCAATATTTCACGCCATTTACAGCCACAAACATCAACGGAGTCATATCCAGGTGGTGCAACCGGCGACTGACTACTTCGGGCCTCCTTAACCGCCGAACTTTCATCGAGGCTGGTGAAGCTTCCAGCTGGGCCCCCTCTGCTGTCTTCGTCTCACCAGAGCCGGCTTCAAAGCGTTGTGAATCCTATATTAGGCGACTTTGTAAACATGCAGATTTCATTTCTTTACAATCTGGTGCGCTTAACAGGGCGACCTATGGTTAATATCCATGGAACTTTTCAAAAACTCTTCTATAGGTTTCCCCGTGGAGTTACTTCAGTTCAGATATCATAGGCCAATACTCACGCTTTCAATGATATATTTTTGTAGAGAATAAATAAATGATAAAACAGTGAATGTTGCGAACGTGCTTTTAGCATCCACGCTTTCCTGGCTAATTGTCTTCCTTCGGACACGAGCCTGTTACTACAGGTATACGTAGGGTTTTCTAATTGGGGGACTGTGCGAATTGCACCACAGCCCTTCGTGCCAATTCCTTTGTTATCGTGGCCGTAGGCCGGAGGATAGGAAATGACTTACTGGGTGAAAGTGCAGAGGCGACTTGGCACACCCCTGAGATTAAAGGGTTGTGCGTTCCACCTCACCAGGTTCGCCCCCCGTGCGGACGCCTATTCATATTATGTATTTGACTATACAACACAAGCCTGAAGCCAATGCTTCTACGATATACAATGAAGAAGACTGTGTGCCATTTTGTGGTTGCGCTGCTGTTTTCGTTTGCAGTTATGACCCCTTGTCGGAGGAATTAGGTTTTCATGTGACGATGGTGCACCTGTATTTTATTTATCGCATGAAATTGCGATACTTCTTCAACATGCGCATCTGTTCACTTTAAGCATCCCCCAGTATGTGCCACGTGGCGACAAAATCCAACAAAACAAGGCTTCAGTATAAAATTGAATTTCTGTGCTTCCAGTTTCTGATGTTTCTAATTTGATTGACCACTTTACACCGAGATAGGTTGCGAAATATGAGTCGGAAAAAAAAACAGGTCCCAAACGTGTGTTCACCGCCTAGGCTCCAGTCTAAGCATGAATCTTGCTGTTCCTGTGAATCATGTGCCATACACATTTGTCGCTGTGTGCACGTTGTGTTACATAACTTTTTTTTATTTCTACAATTTAGTATCATCCATATACCAACCAAAGCAACAGCAATATTAGAATATTGCAGGCAATGCATGGACAGCCGAATAATACATGTGCAGATCACCGTCGTCATGCGCTACGGGCTGAAAACGCCCCGCCACGGTGGTCTAATGGCTAAGGTACTCGGCTGCTGACCCGCAGGTCGCGGGATCATGTCCCGGCTGTGGCGGCTGCATTTCCGATGGAAGCGGAAATGTTGTAGGCCCGTGTACTCCGATTTGGGTGCACGTTAAAAACCCCAGGCGGTCGAAATTTCCGGAGCCGTCCACTACGGCGTCTCTCATAGTCATATGGTGGTTTTGGGACGTTAAACCCCACAAATCAATCAATCAAATCAAGCATTGGGCTGAAAACCTGCGATTCGATTTTTGTGTAAATGAAGAGAGGTACATTTAAGTATTGCCTGCTACAGCTGAAGTTTTTATTGCAAAGCTAACCAATCTTTCGTGGCTTGACAAAGATCACTTAGTGTGTCAAAGGTTTACGTTTCTGTTGCGTCATCATCTCGGTGTTGTTTACAGACGAAGTCGTGCTGGCGAGTGACACACGTTCCATTTGTGCAAGGGTGTGAGGCACAATGGTCCATTTCTGAAAATAGGAAACAAGCAATTCCCAGAGTCAGGGCCTCGTTCAACCAAATCGGTCTAGAAATAACAAAACTGAAAAAAAGGAAAGCTGTGCATACACAAAAATAGGTGGCGGAAATTGAAAAATAACCAGTAAAGCAGAATGCATTTAAATTGCTCGTTCGCTGCGTCTTATTTTCAAAAGCGTCTACAATTAACATAGCTTCACTTCATGATAACCATCGCTTCCACTTGTTCCATTGAATTCAAAGAGAAATCTTTGAAGCATAGTTTCTAGGGAGCCGATGTCTGCGTAGTTGTCACAATTTCAAGGCCTTCAAGCCGTTAAGATGACAGGACCACTTGTCGATGCGACATGAAGCTTGACAGCACAACACCATAGTTGCTGCGCCACCACCAAATCTAATTTGGATAGCTACATTATGAGGCCAACAACGCAGATTCTTTTGACGCTGCTCTTATCTGTATAGCACAGGCCTGCAAGACCTTGAAGACGGAACCGCTTGTCCAAATGTAGGCTGAGCAACGACACGCCGTGTTGAAAAACTTCTTCATTTCATCAACACTCGGCCTTCTGCTAAACGTCGGCCTCCCTCTGATCGGATGCAATAGAAATACATCGTTTGCTGTAGCATCTGTGTTTGTCTTAGGAGTGAGAGGGACCGAGTGTCGCGGCTAGAATAATACATATTCCACGAACTTTAACGCTTCCCTGTGACATGCTGCTGAAAGTCTTTTCAAGAGACCCTCCACATGACACTAAAGCGCTCGAGTTTAAATCACTGTGAATATATCTCGTTAAATAAACTTGTCGGATCTATTTTAGAGTTGCGCCAAAAGGGTGGTGTTGTGTGTGTGTGTGTGTGTGTGTGTGTGTGTGTGTGTGTGTGTGTGTGTGTGTGTGTGCGTGTGTGTGTGTGTGTGTGTGCGTGTGTGTGTGTGTGTGTGTGTTGTGTGTGTTGTGTGTGTGTGTGTGTGTGTGTGTGTGTGTGTGTAGGGCGGGGTGCCTCGCTCAGGTAGAAAGGCGACCTTGATCAAATGTATGTTCTCGCATATGCTATCAAGGCTCTTCTACCAATACATGGCTTATTGTTCGTGCTTTGCTTTTATCGCCTAATTAACGTTAGAGAGAGACTCAGTGCCGCTTCACTCACTGGAGCCGTCGTATTGCCTTACGTCAGTGCTTTGTGTAGAGTTCCACAGGGTTGGATTGTGATAATCCAACTCGATTGGATTGAGTTAGCTGCTAGCCTTAAGTCGTATGACTCGCTGGATTTCGTGCCAACCGGTTGTGCCTTCGCGATCTCCGACGACAACGCAGCTCTGGCTGACTGGACTCGCCCTACGCCATCTCCTGACGCCGTCAAGAGCTCGCGTCTGGTGGTGCCCCGTCCTCAGACTCCCGTGACTGTGTCCATGTTTCCTATCTTCTCTTTTCTTCCATCGCTCGCTCTTCCTGTGCCTCGCTCTCTCCTTCCTCTCTCTCTATATATATTCTTTAATCATATCCTTTTAATCCCTTCTTCCCCCCATCCCTTGTGAGCTACTGTTGAGGTGTCGCACTCTGGTGCAGACGGTTAGGGGGCTCCCTTTTCTCTTCTTTTCCCTTTAGGAACCACATAAGAAAGAAGTCTTATAACATTCAGAAGCTTTGCTATGCCATACAGAGTTTCGCCCTTGCATCAAAACTGCGACTCCTTGCAAAAACTTCAGAGGCAAGTATTCTTGCAACAAATTGTAAAAAAGCTATGAAGTTGTCTTATTTAGGCGACAATAAAAAGCTTTTGCTCTTCATCTTACCGACGCAGTCATGACTCGAGCGTGACCCTTCGTTCAGGTTTGTTTTCGGAACCGGGCATTCGACGCACGATTTACGACCCCTCATTTCCTGGTAAAAGCCTCGCTCGCACGGCGTGCACGGTTCCATTCCGCTCTCCGAGTAAGTTCCGGGCTCGCAGTATTCTGTAAATAAAAGGAAAATTCATGATTGGCCTATTGGGGAAAGGTTGGGGGTTAGGGGGAGCGGGCTGGTGAATCAAAAGTGTTCTACATCTATACAATATACAAACACACGTGCGAACACACGTATGAACGAAACTAAAGGCTGGCTGAGCCTCCCTTCTATTCCCAAGCCTGAACTCTCTCTGGCTTCACTCTTGAAAATGCGGCTCTTTGACACAAGTCCGGGGATTTTTTCGGCCTTGCAAGTTGAGACTGCAATGGTGCTAGCACTTTCACATCATGTACCAACTGGCCCGGAAAACCCTGCTGCTAGACTGAGTTTCTACTAGTTTTCGGCCTACTTGTTTCATACACTTGCTTCCTCGGATGCGCTGTTCAAGATCCGAGAATTCACGTGTGCAATCCCGAATGCATGTCGAAACCTCGTGTTCTTTGATGTGGTTGAATGCCCGCCAGTATAAACTAGTAGTGGGTAATAAAAGCACTTCATTGGCCGCAATAACATTCCATATTACTAGTTATTATCAGGGTGCACGAACTTTCATTAGCTTCCTTATATTTTAGAGTTGAATGCAATTAGCACGATGCCATGTGGCGAAACCTGAAATATCATTTGTGGTGTTTGCTGAAGCTCATTCGTGAGCGAATATATCCTCGGCATTCTAACTTGCATAGTACGTTATCATAATGATTCCAATGCACCATATGGAAGCATTGAAATCGGCCTCTAAACTTAAGCCATATTTTACACGCAACTTTGGACAACACTGGTTTTGTAACGAGCAGTACTTGGAGGACCATTTCGTGCTACCATTGCACGGTTTTTATGTGGTGTACGCCATGTTTTCGTTGCCGGCCTCAGGGTTCGACATGCAATGACCAAAGTTTGGGTCGTCGCTGGGAACCTCGTAAACTACGGCAAGGGATTCAAATTGTGCCATAGTGCGCACATTTTTACATTTTATTAGTTTTGAAGGCTCAATAAACTTGTAAATGCGTGCTTATCCTTTATTTGTGTCAAACCTCCTTTATTTAAAATGTATAGCAGTTTCGTAGAGCAGAGTATGAAGATGAAGTTATGCCATAACTCAGTGTAACTCAGTGTAACGACTCAGTGTAACTTTTCGTGTGTCACCTGGAGTAGGAAAGCTTCCAGACCAGCTCCATATATATGCTCTTGATACTCAATGACTTGACACAACTCTAAAATGGAACCACAGTGGGACGTAAAAAACATTTTTAAGGCCGTGATATCGTTTTGGTGAAGGCACGACAGTGTCGTTCCCATTTACATTTCATTTACTGACATTTATTTTCAAGAGATGCTTACTTCTACGTTTGCCCCTGGAAAGCCGTGAATGAAAAGTCTTGGCAACCAATTTTACCTTCCACTTCTGGGCTAGTCAGTATGTTAAGTTCAATGAAGCCATAGCGTTGGAGAGATGGCGACCAGGGAAACGGACAAGACGAGCGCTACTTCACTGGGCAGAATATTCACTCTCATGTCACTCTGGCCCTGCAAGCTGCAAGTGCGGCAAGTCGAACAAGTTTGTAAAGATGCATTACTTCGAATGCGTAGCGCATAAGGCATGGATATAAAAGACATAGATAGCTGAGTACGACTCTGATCTTTTCTATCCGTGTCTTATGTACTACCCATTCGAAGTTCTGCAAGCGGCAAGGGCGATGAACGAGCCGTGTTTGCATGGATCCGTATACCCTTGTCTCCTTCATCGTCCTTGCAGCCTGCAGAGCCACAGTGCTTTCTTCTTACATAAGTGCGACAATGCCACCAACCGAAGTAGCGCACGTACGGTCTTCTTCCTTGGTTCCTGCCTTCTCAGCACTATGGCTTCGTTGTGGAAAGAACTTCACAGCTCTCTTTCAGTTTCGCATCCACTACGAAGCTTGTTTTTCTTTCGAACTTAATCAATAAGGGGTGAAGGGGGCGCGGGTGTTAGACTTCTCCACCCAACTTACACCTCCATAAGGGGAACCTTTGAAACGTCTATAGCAGTGATAACAAGTCGGGATCCGAAGGAAATCGAGAACTGCTAAAACTGACTTTTGCAGTCGGTGATTTGAGCGCTGCCGTAGGCATTGTTTGAAGATCCCGCGGGGCAGATTTTGCACTGGACCTGCTGGTACTGGTCTTGATACGTTCCCGGAGGACAGGCGCGGCAAGTCCCAAGCCCATTCCTGGAGAACGTGCCCGGAGGACAGGGTGCTAAATATGGAAAAAAAAGAACGAGAAAGTACACGCATTTACTGAGGGGAACAATTCCAAACGGTGAATGTGACACATACGCGATGAGGCGAAGGTTTGTCACTGCTGATACAATTGATAACTCAGAGCTTTTGAACTTGCAACACTTGCGTGTCGTCCTTGAAAAACACTTACCCAATCAAGTTCAGTACATGATTCTTCGTGTACAAGGCGAGACGGGATGATGTACTTATAAACGTACGGACTCCTTCGCTAGAGGAAGCAGCATGCATAGTGCGATGTGTGAGCCCTGCACTGCTTTGCATGAAGTATCCAGTGAGGCTAAACGTCTTAGCTTACCACACGATGCTGAGTATTTACCCTCGAGTGTTACCGTGCAAGTATAGGGTAGGGTGAGTAGTCGCCAACAGCAGCGACGCACTCATAGCTCCAAAATTATTCTATGCTTTTGCTACAATTCTCCATCGATGAATAGTTGTTCGCAGCCAGCAGACATTTTCGTGTGGTCAGGACGAAGTTGTCAGGCCACAAAAATCTGTCGTTCGCACGTTTTGGTCTGAGCGGCTGTAATTCTTTGTCCGGAGTAATTTAGTAAAACTCACTTCTTTGCTAAGCTCAAGTGTATGATGATGATATGTGGAGTTTAACGTCCCCAAACCACCGTATGATTATGAGAGACGCCGTAGTGGAGGACTCCTTAAATTTCGACCACCTGGGGTTCATTACCGTGCACCCAAATCTGAGCACACGGGCCTATAAGGTCAAGTGTATCGAGGCATACAACATTCAGAAAACCTTCCACCTCTGTCGCACGCGTACTTTGTGACCTCGTGGCCACTCTGCCTGTCATAGTGGACTGAAGATTTGGTCGGCAAAGCATATGACCAAATGAAAGTGATCCGTAGGGTGTGATTGAGCTGACTGCTTCTCGAGCAAGAAGTTCCACTAGTTGCGAGACTAGAGACTTCCAGCAGCGGGATCGAAAACCGAGACAGCAATGAACTCACAAGCTCACCCTGGCAATCCTGAGCACTCGTACTCTTGGAATCGATGGTCACGGCTCCTTCAGAGCATGGCTTGCAGGTCACGGCGCCGTCTTGGTCCTGGTAGGTGCCCGTAGGACAGGGAGCACAGTAGCCCAATTCGCGGTCGTGAAAGGATCCTTTCGGGCACTTGACTGTCAAATGAAGTAAAAAACGACGATGACGCTCATTACTTTCATTGATGTGACGTACGAAACCTATTCGCTAGACTGATATGTCAGTCTAGAAATTATCGACAAAACGTACAAATATACTAAGCCGAGAGTACAATTAACGAACAGGCGTATGCACACGCAAGAACACCGACCCACGCACACGCGGAAACGAGAAATGATGAGAAACTTGGTACATGCCGAGATTTGATGTACACGTTCGAGAGTCCCGGCTTGCGTTTCGCATCGTGCTCATGATCAGTAGTTCTGCACCCGCACCCTTTGCGAAACGCATCGTTCTTCAAACGCACAGTGGCATTACGGACACGACGTGCGCAATATCGAACTCACTGATGATAAAAACAGGCAGCGTGTACTATACAGCCACTAATATAGTGTGATCAAAGTGGATCGCTTGAACTTTCTTTGAACATACTAATTAGATGTAAAGGTACATTTTTTCTAACCTCGCAGCATCTTGCGGCTCCTGTCAACTGTGTGCGATTCACAATTTCCGGACCCCTCTAATACGGAATCTCTTGTAATCATAAGTTGGTATGAGTTCCTTGGGTTTTTGTGAATAATTTCCATTTCGCCGGTCCTGCTGGTGTGAGATGGAGATAGAGTTACACGCAAGACTACCGGACACTGGAATGACCACGGGTGTTGCTTTCAGGAATATTATCGTGGTTTTGGGAAGCTAACCCCACATATTAATCAATCAATCAGTCTATACGGTTGCTATAGTTGTTTAGGCACAGTCGTGCGATATTTCCGCCACTCGTTTTAAGCAACTCAGAAGTCACACGGACTGGAAGGCGAAGCCTATCTTTGTGTTTTCTTCTTAGTTGGTTGCACTAATTCCAGACTCCCGAAAGCGTTCTGCACGTAACGTGGTTGTACACTGTCTTCGCAATGAAAAGCTTACAAGCTCTCAAGCTCTCGGCCCCTTCTGTGTTTATGCGATGCCTCTGGTAAAGGCCCATTTCTGGCCAAGCTACAATAGGACCTAATGACGTCACATGTCATATGCATGTTATCAGAGTGGTGTCATGTTGACGTCTCATAAGCTAAAACAATATTGGTGTATTGTGACGTCTTGATGCCGGTACAGCATGACGTAATCGCTTGATTTCTCGCATAACTTCTTGTTGACCCCAACACCGCCAAGACTAACTTTTTCGAACAGCTACGCTACTCATTATAATAATTGCCAGTAACAACAGAGCTACATCACAGTTGTGCTAAGTTGAAGAGAGTGCACTCTATTAAAGCTACACTGGTGGCTCACGGCCGCTCTTGATCATCATAAAGCCTGATCCGGATCTTGTTTCTTCGTAGTGACTGGCTCCTTTACACGAACCGCAAAATAGAGGAAATATTTGCCGAGAAAGTTGATCACAGTCCGCCGCGGTAGAGCTGTGGTTACAGTGCTCGGCGACTGAGCCGAAGGTCGCTGGTTCGATTCCAGCCGTGGCTGTCGCACTGCGGCGGTGGCGAAATGCCAGCGGCCCAGGTACTGTATAAGGTCAGTGCAGGCTAAAGAACGCTATAGATGGTCGAAATTTCAGGAGCTGCCCAGTACAATGTCTGCCACATTCGTATCACAGTTTTGGAACGTAATACTCCCCAGTACTAGTAAACCTGATTCCAGTCGTGTTTATGCGCGATAAGCAGCGCATTGTGAAACGCCGGCATCAGTCCCAATCCACTCACCGCAGTCTCCGTCGCTGTTCAGCGCTTCTCCGTCTGCGCAGACGACTGCATAGTCTTCTGTGTAATATTCTTTCAGGCGCATATCCACGGTCACGCGGTCCTCGTCGGCTACTTGCTCTAGTACGGATGGGTCGATTTCGCCGATTCCACGCAGAATTTCGTCCACTGCTGCGGCGAGCCTTTCGGTGTCGTTTTCAAAGGCGACTGCGTTTCCTTTCTGCACGAAATAATAATAAAAAACAGTATGCTAATGACTGCTAGTGATGCGAGGTTGTTAGCTAGTTAGCTAGATTATTAGATAGATAGATAGATAGATAGATAGATAGATTGATAGATAGATAGATGGATAGATAGATTGTTTCTGCTCATTTTCTTCCTCATTTTCAATTTAATTCTATTTATCTCACCCTCTCTCTGCATAGGTCTTCCTGTTGATTTCTATATTTCAATGGCTTTATTTTTCTCTCTACTTCTCTCTATCTGTTACTTTCTATGTATGTCTTTCTCCATCCTCATCCTTTCTCTTTAAACTCGTTCTCTTGCCGAAATATTGTGCTCACGATAAATGTAGCTTTTGTCTTTTACACGGCCGACGCACTTCCTCGTCGCGCAGGAATTCGATTTCGTTTTTGCTTAAGTATATTGTGCGGCTTGCCGATTTCTGTGGCGCATACATGACTGAGTTTCCAGGTTCCATTCATTAGTTACTTGGTTCCTCGCCATTCTCGATTTCTCGTTTATTCCTGTAGCGATCAATTCCTTTTTCATCTAGTTCCAAAATAATTACTTCGTCATATATTAACCGCTAGCTTCGCGGCGATCCACCGTAGTGGGTAAGAGCCAAAAATCAAGGAACAAACAAGCAAGCAAGAAAGCAAGGTTTGCCAGACAAGGAACGATTCGATCAACAGCTTGGCTGTTAAAAGTCTCATCGCACTCACGCTGACATCGAGGACAAATTGGGCATCTACGGCCGCGATCGAGGCATTGGTCGTGGGTTCGTCGACCACACTCCTAGCCAATCTCGTACGCAGCCAGGAACCGTCGCTGTGGTCCTCTGTGTTGCCCAGCTCCATCACTCTGCCGCAAGACACTCCAACGGTGTTTATTTGACACTTATTTGCCAAGCCGCACTTCGAGGTCTTCTTCGTCGTCCTCTCGAAGTTTTTGATGAAGATTCTTCTTATGGTGTTCTGTACGATGGGATCCTTGCAGTCACCGTGGTAGTAGTAGTAAGCATGGTACAATTTCCTGGCTTGCGTCGGAAGCGACTTTACTGAAACCATGAGATACAAAAGAAAAGGTTACATAGACATATAGCTCAAGCTCTTTTTAGTTGTGTTTGCATTGCACTAAAAAGAAGTAATTATTATATATATATGAGAAGGCCGTGGCATCCCCAATAGAAAGCCACGTGAATTATGACGAACATACAGGACGTGCATGTTATAATTTTATTATTACGACACATCCTTTGTGTTCACCACGCACTCGTGTTATGCCATACGAATTTCGGTATCTATCAGATTAACAAAATGGCCACGAGAGAACTGACTCATTAACAACGGCGAAGCTATAACGAAATTGTGGGCGCTTCGTCGCAATATTTTGCCTTGGCAGACTAAAAGCAATCTGCTTGACGAGTAACTTCGATAGCAGGAATTTCACATTTCTGCAGCAACACAATAAAGTTCATAAGCCACGTTTCTCTGACCCCATGGTGGTCTCTTGCTCAGGCCGTTATACAGGCTGATGAACGCTGATTTAGGCTTATTATTTCCGAGCGGGGGGTCTCCCCTTTTTTGTAAAGTGGTGACTGGGCAGGCAGATGTGGTTCGAGTGTCACTTTGATGTCTTATGCCACGGCAAAAAAACAAAAAGAAAACCAAAAAGAGGAGGGACGGGTCGGGCAGGCCACTGCTAGCAACGCCACAGCTTACGAGCGCTGGAAAGAACACGAAAGACTCTTCGCCAATTCATTCGCGAAACGGCGCTCCAGGGACGGCTACTATACATCTGTAAAGGTCGCCTGTAATATTATTTCTCTTTTAGATAACTTTCCTTTCAATGTATATGATACGCATTGTTGGTTCAAATTGTGTTAAAATTTACTTTGGTTTTGCAATAGTATAGCCCCGATGAATCAGGAACATGGGTAAGTGCCAAGGCATTTGGAGCAGCTTTTTTTCTCCCTGTCCTAACCAGATACCGTAAACCCGTATAGGGTAAATAAACTCCATTCAATTCAATTAAAAATACTTATAAAGAACTCAAACAAAAGACACGAAAGAAGAGATTAATAAATAAATGAACAATTCAATAAATCAACTAAAATAAAAAAATTAAAGAATACCAGTACGCCAGGCACGGCCACGCGGAGCTTTTTTTGCCAAAATTTCTCAGGTTAGGGTTTCTGAATTTTTCTCCTTCATGCATTTGGACAGAAATAGCACCAGCTGAAAAACTTTTATACAAACGTGCACAGTCAGGCCAGGGCACAGGCATGTCCCGTGGTAGGGTCTTCCATTGCAGGCTGTCGTCGCATATGTACGCATCTGCCGGTTTGCTCAAGAACTCAAACCGGTCATCGCAGAGGGCCTGGCAGAACTGGCCGTAGTACTGGTCATCACACGCCAACGCCCCGTTTAAGGGAGCAGGGTGGAAAGGACACTTGCTGCCTGCGGTAAACGGAACAAATAACGACAAACGATTACGACACCACGGTGACAGCGACCAGCTAACGGTAACGACTACATAAGCGCACCACCGTTCTGTGACATATGAGATGCATGGTTGATGGGTGAGCGAATATACACCATGTGAAGACGTGAGTTCACGATAGAAACGCAAAGAACTTCCGTCAACATTTGAGACCAGCTGGGCATACGAATCATCGCGTTAGTTTCGACATGCTCACGTTATCCCCTTCTAGAATGTCTACCCTGTAGACTGAGTTAACTTCGGCTAATCGCTGTAACTTCACTACTATTATCTGAGTTTTACGTCCCAAAACCACGATATGAGGCAAGATTTGGATGGCTGTGTGTGTGGGGGGGGAGGGGGTTAAGAATACTTTCACCCTCTGGAGTTCTCTCGCATGCACAAACGTGGCACAGTACATGGACCGCATTTCACCTCCACTGCAATGCGGCCACCACGGCCGCGATCAAGCGCGCGACCTACACGTCAGCAGCCGAGCACTGCAAACACTATCGGCCTTTCGTACTGAATCAAAAGAATGCTCTCGTCCCTTATTGCTTTTAAAGACGGTAGTCTTTCTTGGGGACCTTCGACGCCAAAATTTTGGTCTGTCTGCCTGTCTTTCTGTCGGTGGACTTGTCTGTTTGACAGCCTTACTCGGACTCAAACTCGCCAAAATATTACAGAGCCGGACTTACTCAGAATCAGACTCACGGCTCGATCCGAGTCTGAGTGAGTCCAGGTGAGTCGGCTCACGAATGAGTTCTTCGATCTATGAGAGTTCGTTGCAGCTTGCTACAAAGTTTCTAATCTTACTCACGCCACACGTTGATGTGGAAGACACAAGTAGCGCTGTTTCCACTCTTATCCCGTGCTGTGTAAGTGATCCTGTGAGTTCCAAGTCCGAACATGGAACCAGGCTTTCGGTTCTGGAAAGAGAATAAGCAGTGAGAAGCGCGAAGTGCACAAAGGCGGCGCAGAATTGTTTTCGGTACTTTCAAAGAAAGGTCAGAATAATAGGCGGACCTTGTTCATTTGACAATTAGCTGCATCGAAAGTGCCGTAGAAGCGAGCATGTCGAATAACTTGAAACTCCGGTGCCCTAGTTACGGTTCTCCAACGTCTTCGTGATGTGCAGCAACGCGAAATTAAAAGATGAAGAGTGGCACTTAGTACCAGTGCTAGCGATCGCATTTTTCGTTGAAGCGAGGAATCGTGCAAGGGCGCCATAATCCGGAGTGAGACATTGCGCGTCACATCATCAGTTGAACTGTACCGAAATGCAGTTTGTTGCGCTGATCGGGTCAGGAATAATAAACTGTTGCAATGCAGAAGCAGAATTTTCCGACAAGTGCCCGAAGTGTGCATGCTAGTAGAAATGAGCATCGTCTTTTCTATACGGAGGATCCGCAATCTGCCTCCCCGGAACGACACCCACCAATACTCCAGCGTCATTTTTTAACGGAAGATCTAAATGACAGTTCAGCCATCCAATAAAGTTATTGCTTGTGACCGCTGTTTGTAAATTGCAGTCTTGTGACACGCGTGCCGAAGATAAACAGGATTTTTTCCTCCACATAACTTTTTCCTCCTTTGCCTACAAAGCCCCAAGTTCTCCGCCTTTCTGTTTGTCGTGTGGCACCAGCCGCGTCGTCTTTGTGCAATTTGGCCATCGCCTCAAAATTCTGCCGACCCCTCCTTCGGTGATGCAAGCTGATCTTTATTGAAACTCAGACAATCATATGAGCTGTAGCATTTTACTGCCAAGTGTACCATGACTCGAATCCAAGTTTTATGGCGTCCACGCAGAAGAACTTTATTCTAAAAATTAAGCGTTAAATGAAGATAGCAAACACATATCGTGGCTCGTTTAGAGCTATAGAGTGAAAGGAAGAATCGGGCTTCCTGACGCACTCTTCTTACCAGCCGGAGCTAGTAGAATTGCACATGTGACACATAGTGAATAACTAAATGCAATTATAAATACTTCTTAAATATAAAGCATTTCCAAGCGAACTTAGGCGACCTTGAGCGTATTCATTCGTCCGTCCGTCCGTAATTGCATTGCAATAATGCATGTGGTCGAGGATGCAATGTCCACCGTTTCGGCACCAACATCACTGTCTCAAATTTAATTTGGAGCGCGAGATAAAAAAACAAATAGAAAGAAGATGCATTCATATGGTGGCTACCTTTTATTCATGAAGTATCTTGCATGCAATCTGGACTTACCATTTCCTAATATTTCATGTTTTGTAAATAATCTCATTTCCGTCATTACATGTTTGTACTATAATATCATTATTTCGTGAATTCCGCGAATATTCACCATCGTCGTCTCTGTGAGCAATTGCTAGTGGGCTCATTTGAAAAATAATAATCCTTCTCATTACTCCTTCTTTTCCATACTCTGCGTCGAATTTTCTTGGCATTGGAGCGAAGGCTACAGAGCCAAACCGCGTGCATCCTATACCACCAGGAATGTAGTTACACAATAACGCTCATATTTTCAACGTGAAGTGTAAGAGTAAGTCTATTTTCTGCGTTGAGCTATTTGAGACAGGACGCAGCACACACCAGTAAGACAGTTGCATTAATTCATCTTTACAGCGCTCTCGGGCGCACGAGAAACTCCCACCTTTTTAGACGGGACGCGCGAGGCTCGCTATGGCGTGAGACACGGCTCCGCGTCGGCTCCGTGAAATGACCACTTTTTCACGCGGAAAGGACAACAGCCAGCTGATAACGTGCTGTGTGTGGTTGCGGACGTGCTCAGGATCCTGTGGCTACCATTCTCAGAACTGTGAGTAGATTTTAAAGGATTTTATTGCGCCTTCGGTGTTCGGCTACGTTGTGCGTCTCGCCAACTCCACCGTTCGGCCTAGCGCCGAGGCGGTCGGATCGGCGTTCGAGGCTCCAGGCGTCTGCTCGTAGAGCGTCTGCGGAGGCACTATGACGATGGAAGTGACTGTTAATGGTAGAGATGCCGATCAAGAAGAATTGGAAAGCTCGGACTGGGTGACGAAAGTGTCGAAACGTGTGGCGGAGCTCCAGGAGAGTCAACAACGGGAACGCGATGGCGCCTGGTGGCGTCTACCAGCAGTGGATGCGGGAAAGAAGGCAGGACGATGCCGGCCGGCTTCAATGGCGACAAGCATGGTGTAAGCGGGAGACCCTCATATAAAGCGGCGGGAAAAAAATGCCCGCAGCTTCCCTCGGGGGAACACTGAGGAGGATGCGGAGCATATAATTGGTTAACGGGGTGTTAAAGTGCGACTTACTTGGGTCGATGGCTAAATTGGTTAACGTGGTTGTGAAATGGGGTGTTAAATTGCGATTTACTTGGGTTGATGGCTAAATTGGTTACCGTGGTTGTAGGAGGGGGTGTTAAATGAGTGAACACGTACACACGTATGCGAAAGGGCGGCGCTGGTCGAAGGGACGTCGATCATTGTGTTTGTGGATTCGTTGGAATTCATTTCACCGCAACCTTGGACGTCGACGCGCCGTACAAACCAACCGACGAGCGGCAACTGAGCGAGCGAGCGCCGACCTTGAGTATACATACAGCGCGACGGCGCATGCACTGTCAGCTGTCGAATGTTCGAGAAGGGGGAGAAGCGCAACGGCGCATGCGCGCGCGTCAGCTGCTGATGTTCTCGAAGCGCGATGGCGCATGCGCGCGCGTCAGCTGCCGATGTTCTCGAAGCATGACGGCGCATGCGCGCTACATTATACAGCTAGCGAATGTTCGTGAAGAGGAGAAGCGCACGCGGTGTGTAGAGGAGGAAGGGTGCACAGATGGTGGAGGACTGAAGCGCGCGCGGTGTGTAGAGGAGGAAGGGATGCACAGATGGTGGAAGAAGGAGGAGGAAGCTTGCGGACGGTGCCGCACTACAAGCCTCGAGTATTAGATGCTCCGCATCTAAAAAGCTCGCGGAGCGGTCAGTAGCGTCGCATCTACCGCGTCTTCCGAACGCGGATCACAAGGTTATTATCAAGCCCAAAGAAGGACTGACGCTCACCAGACACTCGGCACCTGTGATTGGTGGAGCAGTAAGAATGGCAGCAGGCATTCCATGGCAGAAAGGTCGGGAGGAGGACAGGATCGTTGTCAACGACAAGCAAGGAACAGTGATATACAGCACGCCCAGGGAGGATGATGCAAAAAAAAAAATGTTGGACCTGAAAGTCATAAAGCTCGACGGCAAGGAGTACAAGGTGAAGACATACATCGCTGCGCCTGAAAGCTGTGGCAAAGGTGTGGTACGTGGACTTGATATCAGACTCTCTGAGAGAGAATTGGAACTGGCTTTCTCACACGAAGAGAATCGTCCTATTCTTGGTGTGCGAAGGAAGGGCAACTCCACTTCGGTAATCATAACCTTTGTTGACGACTACGTGCCGAGATGGATGATCTGCTTTGGGACGCCGATGAAATGTATTCTCTAGAAGAAGAGATATGAAGTGTGTTACGAGTGTGGTGAGCTGGGACATCGATCCGACGTATGTGACAGCCCGCACGAAAAATGCAGAGGTTGTGGGGGGGCCTCCCCACCCAAGGACCATGAATGTACGCCGAGGTGCCGTCTGTGTGGCAAGGAGCACGTGACCGGAGACAAAACGTGCAAAGAACTTTTTCGGACACCTTATATAGTGAAGAAGCGACAGTGGGAAATGAAGCTTGAAGAAGCGCGGGAGCAAGAAGAACGACGCAAGGCCGAAGAGGGCATGCAGCGGCACAGCAGGACAGACGGGGTTCAAGATCGTTTGAGGCGCAAATCCAAGCATCGAAGTAGATAAAGAGGGCGCTCGGAATCCTTCCCCCGATTGCCACCGCAGGAGAAGCCAGGAGTTTCTCACAAGGCATCCCATGATGGTGGTGATTGTGCCCAGAAGAAGTCAAAATCCACAGGACCACAGGTGGGTTGGGTAACTAAGGTCTCCCAGGATGCTAATACAGAGATGATTAATGGTCTTAAAGAGCAAAACAGGATATTACAGGAGCAAAATGCGGAATTACGTAAACAGTTTGATGAGATTAAGGCTCATCTAACCAGTAAACCAGGGAAGGCGTTGGAAACATCCCAGGTAGCAAACCAACCGCCTTTAAAGAAGAAGAGGGCTAAAGAAATCGAAATTGAAGAAAATCACGGAGCGAGAATTGAAGCGCTTGAGGTGGAAACAAAGTCATTACAAGGTGTGCTCCAAGTTGTACTAGAACAGATGAAACAAGTAGGCAATGCTATTGAGCAAATTAAGGCTGAATTTGCTAGCAGGGACCGACAGATAGAATGGCTATGCTGCCAAGCACTCAAGCTAAACCATAATGGCTCGGCACCCTTACAGTAATACGATTTGGCAGTGGAACTGTAGGGGTTTCTCGCGCAAACGTGCGGTTTTACAATCTTTTCTTACCAATGCCAATCGACCGGAGGTTATTGCGATTCAGGTGTGTGGGAAAAATGCAAAATTAGCAGGTTACAAATCTTTCGCCGGGTCGGGTAATGATACCCAAGTTACGACCTTCGTAAAGAGAAACATTACGACATTGCAGCACGAGACGGGGAATTCGCAGATCGATCATGTTTTAGTCGAACTTGTGCCTCGCAAGCGCAAAGACAAGAGTCTTTTTATCCTGAATATGTATAGTTCCCCCAGGCCACGCAAAATCAACTTTGGTGATCCTTTCACGAAAACAAAGGTTATTTCAGCAAACGGTCTACTATTGATTTCAGGCGACTTTAATGCCCATCATACGGCATGGGGTTATAAATTCACCCAGGTTAAGGGCAGATACTTGTGGAACGAAATTCAACAACATGAGCTCATACTTATAAGAGACCCAATGCAGCCAACGAGGAAAGGAAATAGCGTATCTCAATACACGACGCCAGATCTTACCCTGGTCAGCAGTGCCACCACCGCC